CCACCCCCTCCTCCCATTCCCCAACCCCTCCTACCACCCCTTCCTCCCATTCCCCAACCCCAGAGCCAACCCCATCTCCCATTCCCATTCTCCAACCCCTCCTCCCATTCCCCAACTCTTCCAAAATCTCTCCTCCCTTTCTCCAACTCTTCCAAAAACCCCTCTTCCCAATCCCCCTTCCTCCACTTCCCCAACCCCTCCTCCCATCCCCCCTCCTCCCTTTCTCCAACATCTCCTCCCATTCCCCCCTCCTACTTTTCCTCAACCCCTCCTCCCTTTCCCTAATCCCTCCTCCTATTTCCCCCTCCTCCTTTCCCCATCCCCTCCACCCATTCCCCACTCCCATTCCCGTTCCCTTCTTCCATTCCCTAACCCTTCCACCCTTTCCACAACTCCTCCCTCCATTCCATGTCTAACATTTTCAACAGGTCTTCTTTTTACTGACTGGCCTTATGTCTGCACATTTAATCTAGATGTCTTTTTCTTTTAATCACCGAAAGTAGGCAATTATATTTTCTAGACTTAACCCAGCAAGTTCGAACGGCTGAGGAAAAAACAAACAACACCCCCCAACAAACAAACAAACAAACAAGCAAACAAACAAGCAAACAAGATATACGAACAAAAAAAAAAGGTTTGAGAATCTGCGGTGAGGGGTAAAATTTTGTTAACACAAAGGTCGTCTCTTCGAGACCAGCTCACTGTCCGTTTCGTTGTGGGGCGGGTCGTCGGTGAAGAAGGAGCAAGGGCGATACCAAACTCCTAAAATCAAACAGAAGAGCAGCCTACAATGATAATTTTTAGCTCTATAAACTAAGATTTATGAAACGCTGGAAGGCGCTTTTCCTCGAAGTCTTGCTTCATCATTCAATTCTCGGGCCTGGCGGTGAAGGGATTAAGGAGAAAAATACCAGTTTATTTTGAACAGAAGACAAGGTAATAATATTTGCGATTGAAGGAGGTGGGAGGTCACTCCGTGTCAAATGTTAAATGAGCTAGATTCTAGAAAATGTTCGCCCAAGTTTGGGGACTTCCGAAACTGAAGTGTACTTGGAAACTTCTAGATCTAATTTACTTTTCTTTTTTTTTTTTTTTTGATGTTTGCCGTTGCTTTTCTGTGAAATCAACACATAAATGTGCTTTTAAATGGCCATAAAGGGTATTGAGGCCCCCCTTCCTAAAAAACAAACAAACAAACAAGCAAA